TTTTTCTTTTGTTCCTTTAGAATCATTCCGTTCAATTAACTTCTCGAATCAGCAATAACTTATTGATACCGAACAAGCAGACAAGTGTAACCGGTGTCGCTTTTAATAAAGTTACAATGGGTCCGTTAATTCAACGCCCCCCCTCAACTATGCCTCGTCATCCAGTTCATAGTTACCAAACTCCTATGGCAGATCCAACTTTAAGATGGCAAGTTGCTCGTCCTCTTGATAAACTCGCTAACATGGTTGCAAGTACAAATCCCAGTCTTTCGATTCCCCCACGATGGCCAACACCAGGAGTACCACCATCCACACCTTTACAAACAATGAATGGTCACAATTCTTCTCATATCACTACAACATTACCTCCATCACCAATGTACAACGAACAGCCAACGTTCACTTTACTTCAGAATAGCCATCCACAAGGATATCCACAACCAGGATGGATACCTCCTTACAATGCTTACAGCCAAATAGCACCTAATCAGTCACAATCTCAGCCATGGAACGGGCAAACATTTTCTCCCTATCCTTACCAACAACCTCCACTATCAATTCCACAACAGCAACAACAACAGTTCTCTAATCAGCACTTGTATCCAGTTAATGAATTACAAACGGCTCCTCATAATTATAATCTCTATAATTTGAATCCAGTACCGCCTACGGCACTTTTGCCCTCACCAATTACCACTTCACCAAATTTTCCATCTCCACCATCCCATAATATTCAAACATTATTAAAAACTGTGCGCCCTATTGAACAAGTTGTTACCGATACAAAACAAGAGCCATCACCTATTATTCTCACAGAATTATTGAAAAACGATAAACTCGCAAATAATATCAAAGAATCGGTGGAGCAAACGCCACCGCTGAATGTGGAAGATGGAACCAAATTTATGATTGGTGATATTATTAAAGGAAATATTTTAACAGATACATAATCCAAAGCACATACCTATTGAGGGAATTATTTCAGATTTTTTCCAGTCGTTTTTGTATAGTGGCATTGGTTTGTTTTCTTCTTGTTATTGGCTGTTTCACTACATACTGTTTTTGTATAAAATACTTCTTTGTGTTAGCCTGTTGTGCTTACAATTTATTATTAATTTTTTTTCTGCTTTTGTACACATTTTTGTTGTTGGTCGTGCTGAATTTTTTCCTTTCGTATTTACTTTCATTCAATTTTTTAAACTCATAGAAATTTTTTTTGTGATGGAAAATATAATTAGTGTGGATGTTTCACCGCAATTAAAATACATTGTAGAGAAAAATATGTAGATTTTCTTTTCCCATTCTTGTTTTTGTAAATGTTGTATTCTTTTACTTGCCATTTTGTTTCTTTTGTTGTTGTTGTTCTTTTTTCTTGTCAAAAGATTTTTTTCTTCAAGAAAAAATAACAAAATCTGTTATGTGCGCGCTAATTTTTAAATATAGATTTTAAGTAGAATAATGAAAGATGTCTTCAATATAAAATTCGAAGAAAAATTGTAGTCATACTACTCTGTGGTATCAGATTTACACATTATCTTTTACACATTTAGTAAATGTTCAGAAAAATTAAAAATTTCTAGTGGTAGACATTTTTTGAGAATCTTTGGGAAGAGATTTTCTTTTGAAACTATTTAAGATCAACTTCTTCGAAGAAAATAGAAATAAAACTGGATGTACTTAGTCTTTTCATCCACTTTTGTCTGAACACAAAAACAATTTCGGCAATTTTTATTGATGCTAGAAAAGATCATTTACTCATTTAAGAATAGTATACGATACTTTTATTTTTTTAGACGTTCTGCTTGTTTATGCTAGTCTTGTATAAAATAAACTCTATCGTCTTTTTTTCTCTGTTTGTTACTATAATGATTTATTTAACTTTCTTGTTTTTGTGTAGATTTCCATCCAGATTTAATACCAGAACTGAATTTTCAAAATAAAAGCATAGAATTAAAACTCATTAATCGCTAAGTATGAATAGTGCGAGATTGTATTAAAGTTGGCTGTTTCATAAGATATTTGGTAATATTCTATGCACGTATGTGTAGTAGAATGACAGCAGATGATCGTACTTTTTCTCTTTCTATTAATTTCTGTTGTANTTAACTTTCTTGTTTTTGTGTAGATTTCCATCCAGATTTAATACCAGAACTGAATTTTCAAAATAAAAGCATAGAATTAAAACTCATTAATCGCTAAGTATGAATAGTGCGAGATTGTATTAAAGTTGGCTGTTTCATAAGATATTTGGTAATATTCTATGCACGTATGTGTAGTAGAATGACAGCAGATGATCGTACTTTTTCTCTTTCTATTAATTTCTGTTGTAATGATCATATATTGTTCGAAAGGAATTAAAAACTGTTACTTTATTTAATACATCAAAAATTATCTTTTATATTTAGTCGGTTATTGTACAAAATGAATATTAAAAACAAGTGTCAGAATAGAAATATGAGAAATATTCATAACTTATATTTTAAATTCAAAACATAACGGCGATGCCAAAACAGTCGAATATTAAGAGATTGATCCATAGCTATCCAAAAACAGCGAACGTTCATAAGCACAAATGAGTTCATTACTATCCCAAAAACCAAAAATGGTTTTTGTGTCAGAGGAGAAATTCAGAATTGATTCTTGTACTTTCTTTTCCAGTGGTACGATTTTTGACGTTTTAGGAATGAAAATAACAACTTCTGGCATATATAAAACCGCAACTTGAACTATTAATCAAATTTTTGATCGCTAAATGAAGATCTGGGTACCTCGCCACGTAATAGTAAAACAATTTTTAATTATGATTTTTCTTCTATTTTATTAGTCTTGACACGATTTCATTACATGTTCCATAACATGTCAGAAAAAGCGAAGAGAAAGCTTTGCGACGTTTTTTGCGCTTGTAAATATGTCTGTATAATGCTATAGATGATGGGTGTTATTCGGAACATTTTCAATATTCTTGTACTTTTTCATAACCGCATCCAATTCCCGCTTTCTTTTGTTAGATCTCCGAGACATGTAAAGAAACCATATCATCATTGCTCTTATCGTTAAATGGAAATTTAGATCTTTTTCCTGCGTGTGAAACTGAAGAAGATTTCATCTGCTTTTTGATGATTAAAGAACTATTATCCATTTCAAAATATAACGGCCATGGATGCTTTTTGAATACCTTGGGTGCAAAAGGTGACAGAGAGATGTGGTTTTTACCATCTTGAGGAAGATAGTGGAGAACGGATTTCAGATCGATCTTAGCACTAAATCCAACATCTGGTGCAAAGCGCGAGGTTATCTATTTCAGACACGTCTCCGAGACATGTAAAGAAATCGTGTCAAGACTAATAAAATAGAAGAAAAATCATAATTAAAAATTGTTTTACTATTACGTGGCGAGGTGCCCAGATCTTCATTTAGTGATCGAAAATTTGATTAATAGTTCAAGTTGCGGTTTAATATAGATGACATATGGAAACAGGTTATAACAACTGGTATTGTTTGCATAACAACAATTGAAGTTAACCTATGTTCTAAGCGTTGATGACTATGTTCAGAATTTTGTTGAAAAGGAGCCACACGTTGTCGAACACTTTTGATGTTTCTAAACGAGAGTCCGCCAAATATAGTTAGCACAATTACAGGTAACATTCCGGTTACAACTGGTCGAAAGAAATAGTTAATATAATTCGTATAGGTTGTCGACACGCTAGAACAAGTCAGTCCTGGCACAACTATGATATTATTGTAAATAAGAGTGGGTACTGTAATTAGCCCACAAATGATAATTGTGACAAAAATCGATCCAATTGCAATTTTAATGGTACTAAAGCGACGGAGTGTAGTACTTCTGGATGAAGAAACGAATTGATCAATTGCTGCCAGCGACAAGAGTGTGAGCGAAGCTGCAGTTAGCCTGTGAGTTAGATGACCTCGCGCTTTGCATCAGACGTTGGATTTAGTGCTAAGATTGATCTGAAATCCGTTCTCCACTATCTTCTTCAAGATGGTAAAAATCACATCTCTCTGTCACATGTTTCGGGGATCTAATAAAAGAAAGCACGAATGGATGCGGTTGTGAAAAAGTACCAGAATATTGAAAATGTTCCGAATAACACCCATCATCTGTAGCATTATGCGTGCATATAACTTAAAGTATTATTAAGCCAAAGACGTTTAAGAACGCAGTCTCATGTCTGGAATTCAGTATCACAAGCTTAAAATTTTGATGCACTAAATTATATTCCACCGTGATACATCATTTCGATACTCAAAGTACTAAACATACTACAAATACTACACATACTATACGACACATTTATTTGCGAATAATCTTTTAATTTGTACAGCGTGCATCAAATCTTTATAGGAGCGAATTGCATTTATCTTCGAATACTTTAAGAAAAAACCCAAGACATTAATACTCATTTTCGCAAGTTTTAAGTTATCGAGCCATTCTTCGAGTTAGTTCATGTGTCTGCATGTGTCTCAGCTCTGATTTATGTTCTCTCCTGCCATGATGTTGGATTTAGTGCTAAGATTGATCTGAAATCCGTTCTCAATCACTCGGGATGGAATGATGACTTGTAACACAATGAGATTGACAACAGACTGTGCCGCCAGCAACATAGAGCAAGAGCTGATACGGTATGTCTTGTGAAAAAATACAAGAATATTGAAAATGTTCCCAATAACACCCATCGTGTATAGTATTATACCCACATATGTGTTGAACTGTTGAGAAGTCAAGTTAAGTGTGGAAGCAGCCGACAATGACATTTCAAATTTTTCTGTTATTCAAATTTCTATCTGATATCTGATTATCTCACTCATGTTATACTCTTGCTTTTCTGCTCGGTTAACTCCGTTCTTTCCCTGCTCTAGAAATCTCTATCTTTCTTCCCATTCACAAGTCTCCGAGATCTAATAAAAAGAAAAAAATTCATAATTCCCCATTTTTTGTACGAGATAAACTTTGTATTAACATTTTGCTGTCACTCATTCTTTTAATACTCTATAATCGACTTCAGTGTTTTTTCTTTAAATGACTTTCGCTCATTTGAGCAGGCCGCCTAATGGTTGATAATAGCTTCTCACCCATAGAAGTTCTTCTATAGAAAGCTCTTCCATATATGAAACAACAAGCCAAAATTTGTAAGAAGTGTGAAATAAAGTAGTCCTTTTTCTCTTTTTGTTGTCAGTATTACTGTCTTTTCTGAAATTGTTGCCTCGCCGTATTTACAAGATAATGCTTTGTTAACTCATTCGGTTGAAACAACTGAACATTCCTAATAATTATCGAGTTTTTTTTCGAAAACTACCGTATATCTTCCAAGTCTTTACCTTTATGCGTGAAAGCTGTTGTGTCTTATTATAAGTATTTAGGGAAAGTATGAAACTGTGCGTTGTGTGCTGTCTCGTTATAGTAAATCGAAACTATCTAAGAACAAAGCAAGAGTCCACGAGTACTACCATAGTTTCTCAACTAGCTGCAATGCTGATCAGAAGTATGTGCCACAGCCCCCGAAATGGAATCTAGAGTCAGTCCTATATCTTGCCATTTGGTACATCGAAATACTGATCGCGAGGCTCGAGCGCTTATTGTTTGACTGTATGGCTTGTGAGATATACCGATTTTCCGTCTTACTCCAGTGCCAAAACTTTTTATTCATATTGGAGATAGCGAAAAACGAGGACTATAGTTTAGTGCCAATATTAAGTGTTCATCTCTTTCGCATCAGGCGTTATTAGCATTTTACGGAAAGAAAAAATATTGGTATATCTCTGTAATGGCGAGATATAAGACCGATTCTAGATTTAATCTTAGTGGACTGTGGTGCATACTTTTAACCAGTGCTGTAATAACTTTTGAGTTACCCGTTCGTTTTGTAATAGTGAATTATCAGCTATAAAAGTAAATAGCAACTATCTGATGAAACTCAAAAGTAACCCGATAGCTAGTTACTAATTACTTAATAATAAATTTTCCTCTGATTTTCTTGCCCTTACCAACTGTGACAAAAGAACCTCATACAAAAGACGTTCTGTGGAAGAATCAATTCTTTTCTATATAGGCCATATTATGATCCTTTTTCTTCAAGCATGAACCCGAAGTGTAAGATACAAGACTTTTGGTTAAGAATTTATGGTGCCTTAAATACTAATTAAAAAGCAAAATAATTAGAAGAAGAGTCAGATATAGAATTATAAGAAACCAATAGAAAATTAAAAATTTTCATATAACAGTAACCTACTTAACAAATGTATGTCTTTCTACAGATAATATATTCACCTGAACGGCTTAAACACAAAATTGTCTTCTAATCTCTCCTATTGTATTCATTTCGAGTCTAATAGATTTGTAAAAATCAATTTTTACTAAGTCCATACAAAGAGCCGTACTCATAAATAGATTTTAAACATGCTTTTAGTTTAAGTAATGCACAACTACAACTAAGAGCATAAAAAGATTTGAATGCAATTATTTACAAGATTTATCATTCATTTATAATTTTTTCAATTCAATGTTTATTCTGTAGTACAAAGCCTTAAATAGAAAACTTTATTGAAAGAAGACTGATAAAATATTATACGGATTGCGTATGTGTTTTCATCAAAAATACATATAATTCTGTTTTTAACGGACAGCTACAAGCGACAGCAGTTCTTTCCTAGAATATTATATTGAAAATTAAGCTACTTTTGTACAATGTTGCTTAATAATGTTGCTTAGTAATATTCTACTTATACACAATAAAAGTTGTTATATGAGTCGAGAACAATGTGCTACCACGCTTTTGTTTGTTATATATACTGTTTACTGCTGGTAATATACGTTTTAAAACATATTCTTTTCGACATGCACATAACTTAAGATTTATTTTTTATAAAAAATTTCTTCTTTAACATCATAAACATTTTACATTTTAAATGAGTTTAAATGAGATTTTAAAAACAAAGGTGTCAGTTTAGAATAAATGAAGAACAATTTTGCCTAGATTAGAAGTAGTTAGAAAAACAGAAAATAAACTAGTTTTTGATGAGCGCGTATGTATTTTAAACATCACACACAAACACAAAAGGTAAGACAACAAATAACAATAAAAAAAGGCTGAGATATAACAAATGATTATTATTGTAAATAAAACATTTCATTCCTTTTTATTAGAATAAAAAAATTCAAAGTCAATAGAAATGAATGTGATAAATAATAAAAAAAAGAAATAAAATTGAAACAGATCATTCAGTTTTCTACCTGACGTGAGAAAAATTCTGTTATACTTCATTTTGAATGTACAGAACTATTACTGTTGTCCCGGTGATTACTGCTCCTGCCGCTATGATTATTTTTGTTAATCTTAAGTTTGAGCTATTTGATGCTATTTGCTATTGTTTAATTTTTTACTTCGGTTTTACCTTCTCCTCTCCATACTAAAATTTTTGCTTCATGTTCAGCTAAATCGAGTATAACTTCATTATTTGCATTATTTAGATCATAATTAAACGTCCACTCATGCCAGCATCCATTACATGGAAGATTTGGTACCGTATAGCCAGCTATAAAATTTGAAAAAAATTAATTAATTATTTTAGTATGTCTGAACATGTGTTTCTCATAGTATTTTTTACCAAGAAAATTTTGTGAAAAATTAATGATAACAACGACTCTGTCTCCTGTATCTGACCAACTAAAAAGAGAGAAAAATAGAGTAATAAACTGCAATTATTACAAATGAATGAAAATGACTACTTACCGTTGAAATGCTAATACTTTTGCATTTCCATCTTCATGTATATATTCAAGATTTGTTGTAAAAAATGCTTTATTTCCTTTTCTTAAATGAACTAATCCACGATAAAATGCAACTAATGCTTTATTTTGTGCATTTGAATTATCTGGACGATCTAGAATCATTGCGAAGATATTACATGATTACAATGTGTGATAGCTTGACTTTTTCTCATACCCTCGATTAATGACCAATCAACTTTGGATACACCTGGTGATTTTTCTTTATATTCACCAATTTCTTCTCCCATCCATATCATTGGAATACCCATAGCAGTCATTTGAATAACAACACCTAAACGTATACGTCGAAATGCCTCATCTCCGAAGATATTACGTTCTTTGCCTATAAAAGATAACAATGTTAAACTATAGGAATAATCTTAAAGTTGTTGAAAACGAGAACACTCACCCAATTCGACAAATAAACGATCATGGTCATGATTTCCAATGTAATTTACAACATTTGGTACACCAAAAAAGCCTTGACGTCGACAATCGATAACACTTTTTAAACGTTCCAAATCAACATTGTCATATAATATACAATCTCGTAATGCCCAATAAAAAGAATCGTGCCAACAGCCTAAAATTTCAAATGTCAAGTTTTTTTTCTTAACGATAATTCTTACTCACCATCCATAGGGCCATCAATATTAGTTATACCTAAATAGAAAGAATACGAATTTATTTATTTTCATGTTACTTGACAAACGCAAATTTTTGTTTTCCTTAACTATTGCTTTACAAATGTTTTTATTGTCTATTCAGCATCTTGTATACAGTTCACCAAAGTTAAAAACTATACTTACGTAAACCTACACAGCTTTTAACGAACGATACAGGAGAGAAGTCATATGTATTGTTTAACTGATACATAAAAAACATACAGTTACATGCGTATACATACACGGTTCGTCTGGTAAAAATTCGGCTACTGTATAGAATGGTTTGCTACCAGCGGCCTTCTTTGCTTCTTTTGTTACCCAATGTAAAAAGTCAAAATTCTGAATTTGACGGGCTGCATCGAAGCGAATACCTATGGTAAAAAAACAGATAACATAAAAGTTCTATAATAGATTTGATGCACAGTCGTAGTGACTCTTCAAGTGAACGATTCTAGTTTAAATAGCACACATTCGAGATCATGAACATTTGTTTATAGGAAAAAACAAATATAGAAAAGAAAAACATGCATTGTCAAGAAAACAGCGTCTTTGATTAGGTGAGGTAATTGTCGCACCATGTCTGAAATCAATTACTCACTTGAGAAAAAAATTTGTTCACGCAGAAAAGTTGACTTTTGTTTTTTTTTGTTTATCGGCGAAATTTTGTGAGAAAAAACGTGCTCAGAAATTCTTTTTGAGTTACGTAATAAAACTTTCCCACCTTGCCAAAGTTATATCGAAAACGCAGCAAGAAAGATTTCTCCAGTGCTCGCTCATTTATTCTATTCGAATGCATATTAACGAGGGAACTCCGCCACCTGATTAAAAGTTTTTGGACTCATATTTTGTCCATAAGTAGGACTCGGTGGAACTAGAAAAATTCGAAAAGGATTTGTCCACATAGGCCTAGTTGGTTGAGATATGAACATTTCATGTTTGCGATAAGGAGTATGTGTACGTAGCTTGTTGTGTTTGAATCGCAAGATTAAATGATTTCAAAAGCGAAAATTGTTACTAAGAATACCTGTAATTAGGAATGTTTTACGCATAAGGTTCCACTTTTATGAGGCATCGTGAGAGTGAGATGTGGAAGTGTTGTAAAAACCTTGTCGTTGTATTTACTGGTGAATTGATTTCGGTAGCAAAAGAGCATTAAGTATTAATATTTTAACATTACATCGGGATGTTAAGAATATCCTTCCATTCTACAATCTTCTATGTACTTAGGGATATTTTTAATAACAATTTTCGCTTTTGAAGTCATTCAATCTTGCAATTCAAGCACAACAAGCTACGTACACATGCTTCTCATCGCAAACATGAAATGTTTGTATCTCAATCAAGTAGGCCTATGTGAACAAATCCTTTTCTGATTTTTTCAGTAACACCAAGTCCTACTTACGGGCAAAATATGAGCTTTTAATCAGATGGTGGGGTACCCTCATAAAAATTTTACGTACCGTCGATATGAAATTCTTCAACCATATAGCGTATACTATCGCCTAGAATTAAGAAAAATATGAAGGATATATTAGTGGCAGTTTGCGTACTATATCTTCATTTACCAATAAATTTCCTTGCTGGCCACACATTATATTTCTGATCGAAATGACCATAATTCCATTCAGGACCCTAAAATACATCAAAATATCAAGAATATTCTTATTAGATAGACTAATATATCGTAGGATGGATGAAAAATTCTGATAATATAGCGCACACTATTCTCAGACAAAAATGAATAAATTACCCAAGACATTGAAACATCTTTCGGATTATGATGATACCAATAGTCATGATCAATTTGTGTGAGTGGTGACGAACAATCACTGTGATTATAAACCTAAAAGGTCGATAAATACTTATTGATAAATAGTTAACTGTTTCAATATTTGAACTTACACCATCACAAATAACACGCATACCATTCTTATGAAATTCATCAATCATTTGTTTCATATCAGCCGTAGTTCCATAACTTGTTTCAATGGCAAAATAATAACGAGGATTATATCTTAAAAATAAATAATTTTATGTATTTTCGTTGAGCAAGTACTTTCTAATCAGTTTACCCCCAAGAATGATTGCCTTTAAACAGAAAATACATAATTATATTAAAGCAAGAACACTCTTGAGAATGGATTCTTACCTGGATATTCTTTGACTGGCATCAATTCGACTAAAAGAAGAATGGACCATGAAAGATATAAAAAATAGAATTTTTAATCTAAATTCTTCCTACTTGCATTCACACCCAATTCTTTCAAATATTCTATTTTTTCTATAATATGTTTAAATTGACCACGTACGTATGTATCCTTTTCACCTCCACTAAAGTCCCCTGAAATATAATAATATATATAAGAACGCTCAAAACGACAACATTAAAACATACCAACATGTAATTCATAAATAACAAGTTCTTCATCAGGTGGCAACATACAGTCATCATATTTCCATTCATATTCGTCTATAAAAAAAAAAATAACATAATGTCGTTACATTATTTTCAAGAAAAAAATATCTTTCGTACCAATTAGTCGTTTGCCATTTTTAATTGTCAAAATACCTACAGCTTTATGAGCATCATCCGTACCCCGTTCATCGACCTAAAACAATCAAATTTGAATAAAACAAAAAAAATATATTGAAAAAATCAAGAGATATTTACATCAGTTGCATATGGATCAACGAATGTATACCAGATTTCGGTAAATGTTGCTAATAAAATTTAAACAAAGCAAAGTAGACGTTCATATCGAACAGTTCTTACTCATATTTACCTTCTTCTTCACGTAGTCGATTTCTTTCACGAATTTCAGCAAGTAATTTTGAATGTGCTTCGGTTTTCTCTAATTTTTCTTCGTTGGCTAAAAATATATAATATAGATACCATTTTAACACAAAAATAAAGGCACATTTTGTCTAAAAAAAACATTAAGTCATAAAATCATAATATACACGAGTTGAAGAAAAATAACAATAAACTGCAAACATTATATTTTTATCAAATACAAATCTTAATTATGAATTGTTACCTTGATATGTAGAAATTTATAGTTGTTGACACATATTAAAATGTAGATTATTAGCTGCTAATGGTACAAAATTATCAACTTACTCATTTCATTAAATTGTTCATCATGTTCATAATCGGGCAATGCTGGTTCGGGTTCCGCTTCAAACCATGATTTTGTTACAATTTTAAATTGATAATGATAAATACCATCGGCAAGATCCACTGTGGCTCGAAAATAACCACTAGAAAAAAAATGAATTTGTAGAAATGAGATAGACAGAATAATATATTGATTAAAAACATACTCAGACTCGTCTTTTTCCATCATAATATCAGCGCCAAACATACGAACATTGGCATTTTTTACTTTTAATGCAGCAGCTTTATTATAAGGTGCGTACAGTGTAAATGTGAATGGAGCCATTCTAAAAATAGAATATAAAAAGTGAATATTAGTACAATTACTAATATTACCAGGACTCTTTCTTCTCTTTATCTAACTTTCTACCTTTCTTTATCGTAGGAAACAGACAACAAGAAAATGCACGAAACAAATAAAACAAAAAAATAGAAAAATTACACCGGTTGACAACTGAAACAGATCTGAAATGAATGAAAATATGAAATAATTCAGATGGCATAATAAAAATTTAGATTTAAAAAAGTGTAAAGTATCTCTCTCGTTTAATTAAATATTATCATCAGAAAACAAGCACTTTACTATCTTTGAAACACTTTACTTCTTTATTCAATGTTATCAATCTCAATTGAATTAATTATTAATAGTTAAAATAACAGATAGATTAAACAAATAAGAAGAAATATTTTGGTGAGACACTTAAAGTCAATGAAATGAACATCATCCAAGTATATTTGTGAAAAATTAAAGAAATTTCTATCAATCCAAATTTCAATCTTAATTTGAACACCAAGTGACTACTACTCGAAAGATAACAATGAATCTTTTCGTTCACAAGTTTGGTTTCTATTCTCGAATAACAGCATGCCTAAGACTATGTAGGAATGAACAGATGACGTTCATACTGTAAATTTTTAATCACATATTATTCATTAATTATTTAAATTTACAACACATAATAAATGACATTTATTTTGCTGTCCTAATTACGTATTAATGAATGTTTTTATACACATTTATAAATCCTTGGTTCATCTAAGTAAAGAATCTAAAAACTTTGGTTGATGAACAAATAAGAAAAGTAGATAAAAAAAAAAGTTACAAAATAATATCTGAATAACTAGCTATAGGCATGAATATTTTTTTGAAATGGGGTCGTGATTCACAGTATAACTTACAGCAACAGTGTAAGTTTACGTTACAATAAGAAAAGAAAAGATATTTTCTCTATTGTACAAAAACGTTATATACTAAAAGTATCATCAAGAGTGTGAATAATGTTTATTTTTTGTTTTGTGCATTCATTTGTTTTTTTTCTGTATGTTTCTTTCTTCTTTTCTTTTTTTTTTTGTTTCTCTCACCCATACGGCAAAGTTTACTGTAAGAATACCTATTAAAAAAAATAATTGTTAAGAGTAACTCTACATTGATTTTAATACAACATATAAAAGTCGATCGATATTATTTTAATAGTCAAAAAATATCTTTAAATTTTAGACAACGGAAAATCAGTTCAGTAGTGTGTTTTAGAAAAAAAATCTCAAGTCTAACTTAAATTAGGAGAAAATTTTTGACTTAAATTCATCGTAATCCAGGACATGTATTAATTTGTTTCACAAACATGATTTACGTTCGATTTCAATTAGACGCCCAACTTAAGGTAGGTCACGAGGATTCTTACACAAAATTTTAAGATGTAAATCAGTCATTTTGCACTGGATTGCAAGATGACCATGCCAAGCACAGTAAAGATTATTAACGAAAAATGTCTCTCTTTAAGCAAAAACAGAATAGTAATTTATTAGAAAGAGAAAGAATATCGAGTTCAATTTGTTACTCTTATTTTTCTCCTTACACTCGAACGTGTTTTCTATAATCATGATTATAAAAACAAAAAACAAATATATGGAATTATGATGAAAAGAATTTATTAATGTGTAATAGAGAGCTGTTCATTCTTAGAGAAAGTAAACACTTCTTATTCTAATGTAATGAGCCTGAAAGGTTCCTGATCAAAAAAGTTTTCCATCCGTGAAATGATGAATTAAAGTAATCTAAATGAAACACAAAAGTGCGAGTATAGAGATCGCTGAAACCAATTTGTGTACAATTGCAAGAAACGAATATTAGTGATGAGGAAGAAAACGACGTGGTAACATTTTTTCTGTGACTCAGCCTTGCCACAGAAATAAGAACTTCAAAAACGGTATACATGCAAACACCTGCTGAACTTACACATCTAACTTAATTTTAATTTAGTTTTAACCGCTTGTCAGCTACCAGAGACTCAAACAAAACACACTTCTGAAAGAATCAAAAGAAAATATCACGACCGATTTCGACCTTTCTCAAGGGTCTCGTTAGATGGTTTTCTTCGAGAAAGACAGCCTTAAGGCACGACAAACAACACAACTCGGTCCACGCCATGTGCGAGTGTTATTATTCCTGGTCCTTCCCGAACAAAGAATGATAACTTTCGCACAATGAGAAGGGAGCACAATATCACTGACCACTGCATATATTCTGCTCCTCTCCATTGAGTATTGGTGCGTAAGCGTGGCGGTTTTCACAATTATCTCAACGTTTGTTGAGCGAAACAAAATGTCCGAGCCTGCCGTTCCAAAAATCTAAATAGATTTTGAGATTTTTAAAACTCACTCAGTTTCACCCATTGTACAGTTAGGGAATGTGAAAATTATTTCTCACCACCCGAAGATCTTAGGAGGTTTTCTGAAAACTTGTCGTAGATCCGCTTTATTTTTGGTAGTTCTGGTCGTGAGATCGGATAGAACACCTTCTCTTATGCTCCCTCTTCAACTTTCATGCAATTTGGCTGAGAAATGAAGGTACTAGGTTTTTATTTTAGTATATTCACAGTGAAAAAAGCAAATTTTCTGAAAAAGACATCTTTTAAAGTCTGTTTAATCTGGAGAACAAAACAAACATTGTCACGAGATTCTTCGTGTTCGAAGACCTTACGACTTACGTCAAGTTGTACAGGGACATGTGTTGTATGTCCACATGTGTCTACAGCAGTACTTTGCTATTTAGATTGTTGGAACGACAGGCTCGGACATTTTGTTTCGTCTATGGTAGACCTGTCGCACCCAGCTGTCTTTACAGTACAAGTATTATTCATTTATGCAATCCTTTTTTAAAGAATTTCATTGATGCTCTTATTGTCATGCCAAGTGAAGAAACCTTTCGGTTTTGATTTTTTCGCTATCATTTCTAATCATCATACTTTTTTTACTAGTAGCCGTAATTGTAGGTGTAAAAGTCAATGAAACAACAACAACAACAACAACAAAGCAAAAAGTCAAACGTTTATGAAAATCAAACATCTTTAAAAGATAACACAAACGTATAATAAAAAAAGGACAGTGAAAAAAGTTAGTATGAAAGAAACATGAGAAATCACCCTCATAAAAAATTCATGAGCACAGACAATGTGTATTGATAATATCTTACGAAAATAAAAAACAGTACAAAAAAACAAGCACGAACAGTTTGCATTGTTTAAAATTCTTACATTTATTTAGTTCTGTAAAGAAATAAACTATGCCTAAAAATCATCCAGCGGAGGAATTTTTTGTAAAATACTTGTTACAAAGTCTACTTCTTGTTTAGATGGTTCCTGAGGTACATTTTTTACAACAGGCATTTCAAGAATTTCATCGTATGAACTTGGACGTTGATTTAAATCAGTTTTAAGTCTAAACAATAAGAAAATAGAATCAATTTTAACAGATCTTAATATAATGAAATAAAAAACATACAAATTTAAAATTAATTCAGACATCTGATTAGAAATAATGTTTGGTATTTCAGGGACCCATGTTTCAATTTTGATCATGAGTTCAAACTGTTGTAGTCTCTCAAAGGGATGAATACCGGTTGCAATTTCAACCTAGTAAAATAAAAATAAATGATTATTTGTATAAGAAGAAGCAGAATACTTACTAAACTGATTCCTAATGCCCTAAAAACCAGCATAAAAGAAAGCAATTAATATCCAACATTAGACGAGTCTATATAACTTACCACATATCAGATCGGATTCCATATGGAGCTCCCGTCTTGAAACGTTCGGGCTAAAAACAAGATAAAAACATCTTTGAATAATTAATTCATATGACTAGTATCTGTATATTCTATTACTGGAAGAAAATTTCTTGTTCCACGTGCAATTGTGAATGCTAAAGAATTTCTTAGCTGACCAGCAATGCCAAAGTCGCACAATTTAAAGATAGATTTGGTATTAACGAGTATGTTACCAGGTTTCACATCACGATGTATGATATTCTTTGATTTAAGAAAATTCAACGCATCAACAATCTAAAACAAAAATTTTTTTATCTCATTTACGAGTCAAATTCATTTTTTCAAAAATGAAGGTCAGTGTTAAGAGGAAAACATGAATTATATTTATTCGGTACAGAGAAAACGACCGATAATGAAACAACATCTTTCTCGTAAAAGCCTTCAGAAGTACTCGACTTACATTATTCGAAACACGACGTAATAGTGGATCAAGCTGATCGAATTTTTTAGCAAGATGCATCGCTTTATAAAAGCGATCCATCGAAGCATCCATTGCTTCCATACATATAACCAGTTGACTATCTCGGGTGTCAATCAGTGCAGCATAAAATTTAATTATATATGGATGATCTTGAGAGCCAACAGCTCTAATTGTTTTTAAATCGGTATCAGCAGTAAAATCGTTATTAGAATCATCTTTTGGTTGTAATGTCATTCTCTAATCAAAGATTAAGATATGTAAATTAACTATTTATCAACATTCTTTTTTTTTACTTTAATCGCCATTTTAATTTCAGGATGATCAACAACATCAACAAGCATTACATTTCCAAAGCATCCCGTACCTAATCTTTCAAGATCATTCAACATTTGAACATTAATTGTAAGTTGTTGTCCGTTATAATTCAAAACAGCTTCATCCTTCACATCTGGCATTCTAGAATAAAACATCAAAATAATAATTGTATACTAACATTCATCTCACGTTAAAGATATTCTCACTCATAGGATGGTGGAGGAGTATCTTCTGCACTTTCTGTTAGATTTGGAAAAAATATACGCACTAGAAGACGAAAAACATAGAAGATAAACAAATTGAAGTATAAAATCAAAGCAAAGATAACTTACCATGGGCGCGTTTTTTATCCTTTTTTGATCTATTAGCCATTTCTTCGGTCGATCGTCAACGTCGTTATGATGGAATTAGAAAAATTAGCTAAAAAAGAAACGATTTAAACAACTTCTGGAATTACTAGTAATGCGTTTCTTCAAGATCCAACAAATCTTTCCTATGTCTTTCAATCGGCAGAGTCAAACGGTCCAAAAAATAAGGGTAGATATATATATTGACAGTCTCAAGATACACTTGCAGATAGTGTATTTTTTATAAGTAAAATAGGGTAATATGTCGGATTATTGATGAAAGTCACCCTCACCCTACAGACCAGTACAAAAAACACAACTAATCCTAGTGATCTTAAACTATGTTTATATAGGACTGTCAACAGCTTGTTCTGTTAGTCGAGACCGACAATAGCCATTCTGAAAAAACAAATTTACTGATCTCCAGAAATAAGGAAGCTTCAGGTTTTCATTAATTTTAAGTTGACGAGCTTCTTTACCAATCAGAAGAATTTGAGCTAGTATTAAGTTGCTGCTGCGAATGTACTTCTATATACTTATTCTTCGTCTATGAGTCATTATACTGATAGATTGTTAGACTGCCCATTATTAATGGGTGGTTCTATTACCACTCACAAAGAGTGGCAGCAGTAGCTATTGCCACTTCTCAGATATATCACGTAAAAATGAGTATAGTGAAACAATCGTTACTATCGTCGAGTCTTCGGGGAAGATTAAATAGTATTTCTAGAGTCAATAGATGTCAGGCAATACCTGATACGCTGTAACGGCACTTTCATGGCAATGGAAGAATTTTATAAAATACTAGTATGGAAGATGTCGCGGATTTTTAAGATAAAGATGTACTTTAGAATTAATATCAGTTCCATAAAAAATTACTAGAAAGCCTAGGTGTTCTGATACATTTTTTGTAAAAATTTCAAATGATTTATCATCAGAAATCTCCACAGTTTTTCATAGAATTCAAAATGCGACATTGAAACAATTAAATCAAAGACGTTCAAATCACGCACCCATTTAATTAAAGCGGAACTTTTATTAAACCAAATATTTAATAAAAGTTTTGATTATTTGATCGATAAAAATATCTTAAAAACGCTTGAGAAATAGAACATAAGTAACTTAATTATATTCTATTTCTCAAGCGTTTTTAAGATAATAAAACGGCAACCAAGATATAAACGGCAACCAAGATATAAACGGCACTTGGTTGCCGTTTTGTGAAAAAGCTGTAACCGGTGCAAATATGCGGTAGGATTTGTTACTGTTACTGTGTGTCCGTGTGTGTGTATTACTATGCAAAGTTATTTTAGCTATTTTAGGCGATTGGAAGTGTTTGCCAGTATTTATTTATGCGGCCTTTTATCGTCATATCAATTCATTCGAGAAATTTTAAAACCTTGTTCGACAAATTTTCTCCATTGTCTTGTAAAAGAATTTTTTACGAAGTTCGTCGAGGGGGACCAAGGACTGAATGGGACTGAGAAATTTTTCTAGAGTACTCTAATTCAAAACTTGTTACGTACAAGATAATCAACTATGAGAGTCCGAATCTGCGATCAGTTTTGGCCGAACAAGTTTTTAAAATTTCACGACTGAATTGATATACGCCCTAAATAAGAAACGCCTTCTATTATAATTTAGCGTTGAATAAAACACCGATAAATAAACTTCACTTATTGAAATATTTTAAAAAAAGAAGCTTTGCAAAGCTTTATTAGACAGATAACTGTAAGGTTGCCAACGATATGAAATTTTGACACTGATGCGCCATAGTATATTAGAAACCTTTTACGCTTTACTTTTTATGCACAATTTCGAGGATAATTATTTGTTATGTTAAGTTCCATACTGACTAAAATCTCAAGATTAAAATGCCCTAGTAAATGTACTGAGGCTCCTAGGCGTACTCGTTTAGAAAAATGCAACGAGTACTCATGCATTTTTTTACTCACTGAGTACTTATTGAGTGCTCATATGAGAATTACAAAAGTATTCAGATGAGATTTTATATAATACTCATGAGTATTTTTAAACACTTTTTTGTTTATCATTCTTTTAAGGAAATATCGTCAGATACTCAGAGTTTGGCTACGAGTCCGCTCATAGGTAAGCGTATCTCTGATTGTAACAGAAATACTAGCGAAAAAATTCTAAGTTTCTATAGTGACATGTGTGTATTTTATATAGCTACAATTTTTTCAAAACAAAGATAAATGAGTATTTTCTCAGTATTCATATGAATACAATTTAGTCAATGAGTACTCGTCGAGTACAATAGTACAATATTTTTTAGTAAGTCGCACTCATGGTATTAGTACCTTCACTAGGATGTCTTTTCTCCTCTAACATTAAGAGTACCCATGAAATAATTTTGATGTTCTAACTAGAGATGGGCATCGGGACCAAAAACATTTTCTGGTCCCGGTAAAAGATTTGATGGCCGTTCCATCACCTTCACGGTTAAAATATCATTTGGCCGTGCATTTTGTAGAGAAATGTTTGCTCTTTCAGATTATATATTCTAAAATATACCACAGACCTTCGTTACGAATTAATTTGACAAATA